TGATCCCACACAATCTTGAAATTATGGAGTGATATCATACTCAAGTAAAATCTTACTGAAGATAATTCAAAAATGGTTGCAGCACTATATTGACAGAGAACTTCCAGAAATGCAAGCTGGATTCAGAAGAGGATGTGGAATAAGGGATATCATTGCTGATGTCAGATGGATTTTGGCTCAAAGCAAAGAATACCAGAAAGATGTTTACTTGTGTTTTATTGGCTATGCAAAAGCATTCAATTGTGTGGATCATAACAAATTATGGGTAACATTGAGAAGAATGAGAATTCCCAAACACATAACTGAATCCATGAGGAACCTGTACATAGACGAGGAGGCTGTCATTCAAACAGAACAAGTGGACCCTGCATGGTTTAAAATCAAGAAGGAAGTGTGTCGGGGTTGTATCCTTTCACCACACTTATCCAATCTATATGCTGAGCAAATAATCCAAGAAGCTGAACGATATGAAGAGAAATGTGGCATCAGGATTGAAGGAAGAATCATTAACAACCTGTGATATGCTGACCACTCAACTTTGGTTGCTGAAAGTGAGCATGACTTGAAGCACTTACTGATGAAGATTGAAGACTACAGTCTGTAGTATGGATTACATCTCAACATAAAGAAAACAAAAATCCTCACAACTGGTCCTATAAGTAGCATCACGATAAATGGAGAAAAGATTGAAGTTGTCAAAGATTTCCCATTACTAGCTTCCACAATCAACACCAATGGAAGCAGCAGTCAGGACGTCAGAGGACATATAGCCCTGGGTGAATTGGCTCCAAAGGACCTCTTTCAAGTGCTGAAGAGCAAAGATATCTCCTTGAGGACTAAGGTGTACCTGACACAAGCCATGATATTTTCAGTTGCCTCATATCACTATGGAAGTAGATGGCCCAACCTTTTTTCTGAGGAGTTGCTGGTGGGTTTGAACCTCCAGCCTTCTGGTTAGCAGTCACATACCTTAGGCACTACACTACCAGAGCCCTTTTTTTTTTGGTGGTTGGGGGGAGGTTGGTCATATGCATGTGAGAGCTGGACAATGAGTAAGGAAGACAGAAGAAGAGTTGATGCTTTTGAGTTGTGGTGGTGGTGAAGAATGCCAAAAGTACCATGGACTGCTGAAAGCACTAACAGATCTGTCCTGGAAGAAGTGCAGGCAGAGTGCTCCTTGGAAGCGAGAATGGCCAGACTTCGTCTCACCTACTTTGGTCATGTTGTCAGAAGGGACCATTCTCTGTAGAAGGATGTCATGCTTGGTAAATCAGGAGGTCGACAAAAGAGGGGAAGGCACTCATTGAGATGGATTGACGCGGTGGCTGTGGCGATGGGCTCAAGTATAGCAGGGATCATGGAGCTGGTGCAGGACCGGGTACTGTTTTGTTTTGCTGTGCATAGGGTCACTATGAGTCAGAGATGACTTGATGGCACCTAACAACAACAAACAACACTATTAGCAAAGTTCAGCAAGACAGAAAATAACAAATGCTGGTGAGAATATGGAGAGATTGAGTCTCTCATTCACTGCTGGTGGGACTGTGAAATGATACAACCACTGTGTAAATCGGTATGGCAATTCCTTAAAAAGTTGGAGATGGAAATGCTATTTGATCCAGCAATCCCATTAATAGGTATATATCCTAAAGAACTGAGAGCCAGGAGAAGAACAGATATATGCACACCCATGTTAATCACAGCACTATTCATAAAAACAAAGAGGTGGAAACAATCTAAGTGGAGGAATGGATAACCAAACTGTGGTACATACATTCAATGGAATACTATGCAACACTGAAGAATAATGTAGAATCTGCAAAGCACCACATAACACGGATGAACTTGGAAGACATTATGCTGAATGAAATAAGTCAATCACAGAAAGACAAATATTCTATTAGTCCACTATTTTTAAAAGTCAAGGAAAGATTTATACATAGAAACTTTCCTTGTTGGTTACCAGGGATGGGAGGGAAAATTCCTAGATAGGTTGGAAGGAAAAAATACACACATACATATATATATACACCAAGGATTATTAGTGGTTACCGGGGGTAGGATGGGAAAGGGGTAGCTTTTGTCTGGGGGCACTGAGTTTCTGCCAATAGGTGGTGGGAATTTTGGAAAAGACAGGAATGTGCACAACATGACAAATGTCATCAGTGTTGCTGAGCTGTAAATGTGGAAGTTGTTATGTTGACAAATGTCTTGTGTGTGTTGTCACCACAATAAAAGTTAGAAAGGAAGAAAAGAGAGTTGAGATAGAGAGTGAGTGAGAACAGGAGCGCTCCAGCGAGCAGAAGAGCCCGGGCGGCCAGGAGCCTCAGCCGTGAGACACCCCTGTACCCCTGGCCTTCACAGGGTGCTTACAGACCGGCCTGATGCACAGTGTCTAATCCTCGCGGTGAGGCTGGAGGGAGGCAGCAGAGGGCTTGGCTCTGGGCTGCTCCGCTGCTCCTGAATCCTTTGTGCCCACTAGGAAAGGGAGTGCGTCACTCTGGGACATTGCAGTTGAACAGACGGGGTATTCTTTGAGAGTTTTACAGGAAACTCTTAGCTACCTGTGCATGCTGTACTGACCCACACGTTCGGGAGTAAAGCCCCAGAAGCCCGTGCTTCCAGCCAGTGCCTCCTTTTCAGAGATTTCCCAGAAGGTGCCTTGGCTCCTTTTCCATCCCCTGCTGTAGGCTTCCTGCGTACATGTGGTGACCTCACCACCTTTCACACATCTACTTTCCCCATGGCTGAACCAAGTTCATCTTTGAGTCCCTGGCATCTGGCCCGTGGGAGCGCAGAGCTGGATTTATGTGAGGCAAGAACTGTGCTTGTGTCTTCCTGTGACCTGACAAGCCATCTGATCATTCATTCCAACCTCTTGGGAGTAAACATGTTACCGCTTGCTGCTGCTGTTGTTATGTGCCGTCAAGTCGACCTGACTCATAGCGACCCCTCCTTGGGTTTCTGAGGTGGTATCCCTACGGAAGTAGATTGCCCAACCTTCCTCCAAGGAGTGGCTGGCTGGGGGATTTGAACCACCAGCCTTCGGGTTAGCAGCCAAGTGCCTTAGGCACTGCGCCACCAGAGCTCCCTCCCTCCAGCTTGCTGGGTGATTTAATTCTTGTTTGTCCCAAAACGACCTTTGTGAGACTTCTGAAAGGCTCCTCTTATTCTGATAACTGGAGTTTATAGACCAGGTAACTACTTACACTTTCTAAAATGTTCAGTATTTCATGAACTTAGACCAGATCCTCATTTGGCCCTCTTCTTCTCAGCCTTCCATGCTCTTGTTTTTTGTTTGTTTTCAGCCTGTTCTCATACAGAAATAAGTCAACTTTCTAGATGATTTTGGTTCTCAGCCTATGTGTGCACGTGTGTGTGTGTGTGTGTGTGTGTGTGTGTAAGGTGAGCGGTGCTCATTTACACAGCGGCTTATATATTCACTAGTTAGATTCATTAGCAATTAAGGAAAAGCTAATCAACTTCAGAAAGAAGTTGAGCCACCAGAAACCACACTTTTCCTGCTCATAGTCATAACTATGCTTTCACCCAAGAGGGTGCTGAGTCAACACCAGGAAGCTATTGTTTTCTTCTCCAACCCTCACTGTCTTGGGACAGAGCGCTGTGCCCAGAACAAGAAAAGCATTAAGTAATCTAGCAAGCTTTGGTTTCCTTTGGCTGCTTGATACCCACACACCTTCTCCGGAGCTGGGTGAGACGCCAGCTATCTCTACTTGAGCAATAAAGCGATCCCTGGGTGTTACTTCATCTCTTTGACTTTGCCCTGTCCTCTGTGGCTGGAAACATTGTGGCTTGCTACATGGCTCCCATTTCCTCACCGGTTAATGTCACCTGGTTCCGGGCTCGTCCTGAGTGGCTTTTCTTGTGTCTCGTTTTCAGCTAATAGAAAGCTATAAAAATGGAGGCAGCCTGCTGATCCAGGGACCAGACCACTGTTCACTCCTTCACTACGCAGCTAAAACCGGCAACGGGGAGATTGTGAAATACATCCTTGACCACGGTGAGTAGCACAGAGAACTTCCCAAGGACCGTGTACCCATGAAATTGACCGAATGTTGAAAGTTGACTTTCATCCGGCCTCTCTTCAGAATGGCAGAAATCCTCTCCAGGGTTTAGGTCACTCCCTGCTTATAGGAGGCAGCAGGGACCACAGACCAGATACATCTGGGGTCCTTTAACCAAGAACATGATAGAGATAATTGTCATAGTGAGAGCTTTGCAGGATATTTTGGGTTAATCACTTAAGGAATAAAAGACAAAAGCAAAAGGCATCCTAGTCTAATGTGCTTTGTTTTTCTTGATAGTTTTGGTTGTGGGAAGTTAAATGGTACCAGTACCTGATCCATATTCCTAACCCGTCATTCTGAGGATCCATGAGTATATTTTTCTAGGTTTTCTTTTTTTGCTGTTTGAATCTCATTCCTCTTTCCAGCCTAAGTCACACTTTCAAATTCCTTGAAACCACTCACTATTACTGTGTCTTCTGTGGTACTCCAAGGCAGCTTACTAATGTGGCACCTACCAACTGGGTGTCTTCATTTGCTGGAAGCAGCAGGCACAGTGGCGCCTTCCTCCGTCACCCTCTAAAGCATAACACGTGAGATCAGGACCAAATCTTGACCATTAACATCAGCCTCCTGTGCATCTGGTGTCTTTCCCTGAGTGGCTCGGCTGCAGCCAAAAGGCCAGGCCACCCAGAGGCACCTTGAAAGAAAGTCCTGGCAGTGTCCTCCCACAAGATGACAGCCATTGAACCCTGTGGAGCATAGTTCCACTCTGACACACACAAGGGGTTGCCATGAGTCAGAGTCGACCCTGTAGAAACTGGTTAAGTATGAAGAGCAGGAGTAAAAGAAAATGTGCCTGGTCTGGTAGTTTTTAAGGGTGAAGCCTGGACCTAGATGCGTGGAGATCCCAGACAACCTTCTCTGAGCTCTAAGAGTGAGCCTACGACCCACCTTCTTTGCACCAATATTTGGGCTATCAACAGCAAACACACTCGTAGAAATGCATTCCTTTTTCCTCCTCTTTTCATCCACTTCAGCAAATATGTCTTTTCTGTTGACTGATTGATTGATTCCTTCTTCCATTTGTGCAACAAATACTTGTCCAGGAGCTATTTGTTGTAAAATGGCACACATAAATGAATCACAGAGTCATTTACCAAGCATTAACAGGCAGAAGAAACAACACGATCATGTGCACAATTAAATTTAAAGCTATTGCATATAGATGTTTTAAGTCACATAACAAACCCACATATAAATAACAGAGCTCCCATTTATCAAGCACATATTATGTCCAGATGCTGATAGTGAACACCTTCTGTCATTTAGTCTTGACAAGGACCTTGTTAGGTAGGTAATCAACTATCAGCCACACTAGACTGACTTGTTTCATCTTCACCACCTTCCCGCTGTGACCCCTTGGCCTGAGTAACGGTGGGAGGAGTGGTTTAGGAGAAGAAAGCCTGTTACCGTAGGACGTTGGTCATCAGAGGATTTCTTTCCGCCTTAGCACCTGGGTTCCCTGAGTAGTACAAACAGTTAAGTGCTCACCTACTAGCCGAAGGGTTGGCGGTTCAAACCCACCCAGAGGTGTGTCAGAAGAATCAGGTGATCTGCTCCTAGAGGGTCAGAGCTTTGAGAACCCTTTGGCGCACAGCTCTGTGCACGCGGGGTCTCTGTGAGTCACGGCTGACCCGACGACAGCAGGTTTGGCTTTTGTTCGATCGACTGTGTTAGGTAATCCCAAACCTATTCGCACTATTGTTATTGTCGTTAGATGCTGTCAGCTTGACTCCAACTCAGGGAAGACTTACTTTTGGTGCTGTGTCTGGGGTGTGCTGATCCCACCCACTCCTTCCTTGACTTCTTGCAGTTAGAAGTCTGGCAGTGAGCAAGACTTTCAAAAACAATGGTGGCATGATTTCTACCTGCCTCCTCCACGAAACACAGCTTTGGTATTTTCTCTTCCCTCTAATGACTTCTCCAAAGGTTGATAAGAGGGAAGACCAAATATCAGAAGCCAGTCCCTTAGCCTTGAATAAAATCCCAATGTTTCTATAGTTATTTTTCCTCTGGGAAGAAAAGCTCTCAGGACATCTCCCACATAGAGCTCAGGTGAGCATCAGGTACACACTGACCCTGATGTTTCTCTGGTTCAGGTATAACGCTCTCCAACTGCTGTCTTCTGCATCATTCCCAAGCCTGCCTTCTAGGTAACCAGCGGGCCGTGTGCTGGTGCACACACCCGATTCCCTCCCTCCCTCTCGCTTTCCTGCCCCGGACAAAGGGCATCTTGCACTAGTTCTGGGTTCTTCTCTGTATCAGTTCTCATTGAGGCCTCACTTGGTCTCACTTCACAGCTACACTGAGCTGCTGTTGGGACCTTGGCTGGATTTGAGACAGACTTCCATGTATTTGCGTCTCTCAGCTGGGGTGGCAGATGGCGGGGACCTGGGGCTTGCTCTATGCTTGGTCTTTCACCCTGGGCTTCTTCAGAGCGTGGTGGTCCAGAAGTCCAGGAGAGGAGAGTGGAAGGTGCCAGGCATCCTGTGGCCCAGGATGAGAAGTGACACAGCATTTCTGGTGCATTCCATTGGTGAAAACAAACCCAGGGCCAGCCCAGACTCAAGGATGAGGGAGAGACTCATCCTTTCCATCCTCTGATGGAAAAATCTGCAAATCATTATGGCCCTAGTCAATCTACCGCCCTCCCTGATCCTACCTTGATCTGAATTTCACATAAATAAGGAAAAATATGTGTGTGTGTGTGTATGTGTGTGTATAAGCTCTGGTGGCATAGCGCCTAAGGCATTTGACCACTAACCAGAAGGCTGATGGTTCAAACCCACAGCCACTCCGCAGCAGGAAGATTGGGCAATCTATTTCCATAGTGATACCACCTTGGAAACCCAAGAAGGGGTTGCTATGAGTTGGAACTGACTCGACAGCAGTGTGTGTGTGTGTATACACATTAATACATATACATATACACATATATATATATATAGTCATATACATATACACATATACATATACATATATACATATGTTGTTGTTGTTGTTGTTGTCGTTATGTGCTATCAAGTCACTTGCCCCCAAGACTTCTCTTTCCCCTGCCCTAAACAACAGGCTCTTAGAAGCCCCTGCAGCCGACTGTCACAGGCCTGGTGCTTCTGCCTCTAGATGGAGACCAG